GAAAGCCTCAAGATTCATTCTCCTTCTTTCCCTCGGTAAAGCATATGGAATGAATTTACTCTTTCTCCCTGACCAGGTAACCTAGGTAAGCTAGATGAAAGGTTGCTCATGAACCGGAACCTTCTTGCTTTCACTCATTCACCTTTTCCTTCTTGAACTGATCTTTCTCGTCTCGCCGCTACTTACTCCTGAACCTATACACATTTATTCTTTAACTGATCTTTGTCCTCTCCCTCAGTACTTACTCATTTAGCTTTTCCCATCGATATTACCTTCCCTTCACCTATTTATTCACTGTAAACACTCAAGCAATATTTATTCTAGTTTACGAACTTCACTCCTCTCATTGAATGGTAAACTAAGCTGAAAGATTAATGAGACTGAACAGTAAGGAAAGAATAAACTCTCGATTAATGAGACAGAACTCGCGTATTCAATCCTTTTCCTGACTTCACTCAAAGAATAAGAAAGATGAATGATCCTGAACTACTGAACCTGAAAGTGTTGAAAGTCAAGACTCCTTATTCATTCTTTCTCTTCTCCTTCTTTCACTGATCTTTCTCGGGAACCTGTTGGTTGAACAATTCCCTTCCTCCTTCCCCTACCCCTCTATCTTGTTGATTTACTCGACTGTAAGTAAGAAAGATTCATTCGACTGATTCGCCTCTCCCTATTGATTCGTTCATTTTACTAGGGTTGAACTAAACTAGGTAAGTTGGATGAGAAGAAGGTAAAGCGACTGAACTGAAAGGAAAGACTTTCGATGAATGAGAGCATATGAAATCTGATTCCTTCATGATCCTTCACAGTCAGGAAAGACGAAACTAAACAATCTAGATCCTTCATAGTCAGGAAAGAGGTAAACTCCGAAACTACTAAATCGGAAAGTGTTGAAAGTCAAAACTCCTTATTCATTCTTTCTCTTCTCCTTCTTTCATTCTATTCACTCTTGTTGAACTATTCTTTCACTGTCAGTCAAGACGAAATGAAAGCCGAAAGAGAAAACCTTTGACTGATTGAACTCGTGTAAAGACCATGAATTCGAAAATGCTATCCTCTCCCTATTTTTTGATCATTTTCTTCTTCTTTCACTCTTTAGGACCATCAATAAATAAATTATATCCAGGGCTATAGGTAATTTAGCAGGATGAGAATCAGAAGAAAGATTAATTCGACTGAATAGGACTATTACTTTTTCACCTTCCCCTTCACCTTCAAGTGTTGAAAGTCAATCCTCAAGATTCATTCTCCTTAACTCCTTGTTCCGTTCGAGTTCATTATTATCAGTGATTGCAAGTTATTCTTTCGTGGTAAAGTAAAGTAGCTGAGGATTGAATTTACTCTCCCTTCTTGATTGAACAAGGTAAAGCTATTTGACAGTCTCGTTGCTGCGCTCCTCTCCCTTCAAAGTCTCAGTAAAGCTCCTTCACCTATCGGTCTCATTGTTTCGCTACTTCACCGAACCCTGATTGAACTCCTTTTCCTCTATCCTTTCTTTCACAATAAACAAAGACTCCTTATGAATGAGACTCAACCTTAAACCTTTTCCTGATTTCACTCAAATAAAAACAAGGTAAAGCTTCTCTCCTTCGGCTCTAAACAGCTTGGTTCTTTCCGATCGATTCCTTTCCTTCTTAACTGCTTAACTGCTCAACTGCTTTTCTTTTCTTGACTCTATTCCCTTTTGAACTGCTTAGCTCTGATCTTTATCTTTCTCCTTATTCTCTCAAACACTTGATTTCTTTCATTTTCTTCTCCTCCCCTCTTCCATTCCGTCCCGAAGAGTGACCGGGACCAATTTCGTCACAAAAATTTCGGACAAAGACTGTTTTCTGTCATTCATTTGGAATCTGGGCTCTTGTCATTTTGATTGACTTATTTTTCCCTCTCCCTCTTTCTTTTTCTTTTTTGATTCCCTTCGATCATTCCTTACTTAAGTCCCATAGGTTTGATCCTATAGAATCTGACCCATTTTTTCTTTGATTGAGCGAAAGTTACGAAGATTAATTTTTCGAAGTACTATGTTATGTGAAATCCTCGGGTTTTTCCTCTTTCTCTATCCCTATCCCGCGGTTATAGTGTTTGAATCACTAGAGAACCTTTTCTTCTGTATCCGTATGAATTGATATTATTACATTCCAATTCCTTCCCCCCGATATCTATTCCAAATTGGATCCTAAATTGACGGGTTAGTGTGAGCTTATCCATGCGGTTATGCACTCTTCTAATAGAGGAATCCATTTGATGAAAGAATCTGGCTTTCGTGCTTTGGTGGGTCTCCGAGATCCTTTCGATGACCTATGTTGTGTTGAAGGAATATCTATCCGATTGATTGCGTAAAGCCCACGGTATTCTATTTTCTATTAGTATTAGATTAGTAGGAGTTAGTGATCTTGGCTCAGTGAGTCCATTCTTCCTTCCATGATGAATTGTTGGCACCCGTCCTCCATTTTTTCTCTATTGATCGAGGGGAAAGGGGGCTCGGCGGGAAGAGGATTGTAACAAGTGAGAGAAGGAAAGAGGTCAACCTCTTTCAAATATATAACATGGATTCTGGCATTGCTCGAAATGATTCATCCTTTCCACGGAGGTCAATCTTTACCTGCTAGGCAAGAGGATAGCAAGTTACAAATTTTGTCGCGATAAGACATGTCGATTACTATGAAATGAATAATTTCAGTCGTTAATGGTGGGGTTACTTACTTACCATTATCCTTTTTGCAATGAGTATGTGTTCTAAAGAAAATTTGTTCATTGGGGTCTCGAAGGGGTGTGGAAACACATCAAAACTCTGGAATGGAAATAGAAAAGAGATGTCACTCCAGTTACTTTGGAAATGGTAAGATCTTTGGCACAAGAAGAAGGGGTTGATCCGTATCATCTTGACTAGGTTCTTCTTTCTCTCTCTCTGTTTTTCATAATACCTCGTAATACCTCGTTGGTTGAGTTCTTTTCCTACCCGTATCGAATAGAACATGTTGAGCCAAATCTTCTTCATGTAAAACAAGCTTTATTTAGATCGGGAAAATCGTACGATTTTATGACCCTTATGGCTCAAATCCGTAGTCAATCCTATTTACGATAGGAAGGAGCAGTTGACAATTGAATCCAATTTTGCCAATTATTTGCACGTATCCATAATAGTGCGAAAAGAAGGCCCAATTCCAAGTTGTTCAAGAATAGTGGCGTTAAGTTTTTCGCCCCTTTGCCTTAGGATTAGTCAGTTCTATTTCTAGGGGCAAGGGAAGGGATATAAGTCAACTGTAGAGTCTCTCCTTGACGCGGCTCATATGTTCGAGCCTGATTATCCCTAAACCCAATGTGAGTTTTTCTATCTATTTTGACTTGCTCCCACTTCGTGATCGAATGAGAATGGATAAGAGGCTAGTGGGATTGACGTGAGGGGATGGGGCTATATTTCTGGGAGTGAACTCCAGGCGAATATGAAGCGCATGGATACAAGTTATGCCTTGGAATGAAAGACAATTTCGAATTTGCTTTGTCTACGAACAAGGAAGCTATAAGTAATGCAACTATGAATCTCATGGAGGCGGCTCAGGAGTTGAAAATCAGCGTAGATCTGGAGATTCCCGAATAGGTCAACCTTTCATACTGCTGCTGAATCAATGGGCAGGCAAGAGAGAACCTGGCGAATTGAAACATCTTAGTAGCCAGAGGAAAAGAAAGCAAAAGCGATTCTCGTAGTAACAGCGAGTGGGAGCAGCCTAAACAGTGAAAACGGGGTTGTGGGAGAGCAATACAAGCATCGTGCTGTTAGGCGAAGTGGAATTTGGTGTGAATTAGACCACCTTGCAAGGCTAAATACTCCTGGGTGACCAATAGTGAAGTAGTACCGTGAAGGAAGGGTGAAAAGAACCCCCGGGGGAGTGAAATAGAAGATGAAACCATAAGCTTCCAAGCAGTGGGAGGAGACTAGGACTCTGACCACGTGCCTGTTGAAGAATGAGTCGGTGACTCATAGGGAGTGACTTGGTTAAGGGCCAGAGCCGTAAAAGCGAGTCTGAATAGGGCAATTGTCACTGCTTATGAATCCCAACCTGGGTGATCTATCCATGACCAGGATGAAGCTTGGGTGAAACTAAGTGGAAGTCTGAACCGACTGATGTTGAAGAATCCGCGGATGAGTTCTGGTTAGGGGTGAAATGCCACTCGAACCTAGAGCTAGCTGGTAATCCCTTAAATGTGTTGAGGCGCAACAGTTGACTGGACATCTAGGGGTAAAGCAATGTTTCGATGTGGGCCGCAAGAGCGGTAACAAATCGAGGCAAACTCTGAATACTAAATATGATCTCAAAATCATAGGGGTCAAGGTCGGCCAGTGAGAGAGGGATAAGCTTCATCGTCGAGAGGGAAACAGCCCGGTTCACCAGCTAAGGCCCCTAAATGACTACTGTGTGATAAAGGAGGTAGGGGTGCAGAGACAACCAGGAGGTTTACCTAGAAGCAGCCACCCTTGAAAGAGTGCGTAATAGTTCACTAATCGAGCGCTCTTGCGCCAAAAATGAACGGGGCTAAGCGATCTGTCGAAGCTGTGGGATGTCAAAATGCATCGGTAGGGGAGCATTCCGCCTTAGAGGGAAGCACCCGCGAGAGCAGTGGTGGACGAAGCAGAAGCGAGAATGTCGGCTTGAGTAACGCAAACATTAGTGAGAATCGAATGCCATGAAAACCTAAGGGTTCCTATGCAAGGTTCGTCCACGGAGGGGTGAGTCAGGGCCTAAGATCAGGCCGAAAGGCGTAGTGGACAGTGATCCATCCAGTACTACCCCTTGTTGGTCTCGAGGGAAAGAGGAGGCTAGGTTAGCCGAAAGATGGTTATCGGTTCAAGGACGCAAGGTGTGTTTTTTCAAGGTAAGAAGAAGGGGTAGAGAAAATACCTCGAGCCAATGTTCGAGTACCAGGCGCTACGGCGCTGAAGTAACCCATGCCATACTCCCAGGAAAAGCTCAAACGACCTTCAACAAAAGGGTACTGGTATCCGAAACTGACACTGGTGGATAGGTAGAGAATACCTAGGGGCACGAGACAACTCTCTCTAAGGAACTAATAGCCCCGTAACTTCGGGAGAAGGGGTGCCTCCTCACAAAGGGTGTTGCAGTGACCAGGCCCGGGCGACTGTTTACCAAAAGCACAGGTCTCTGTAAAGTCGTAAGACCATGTATGGGGGCTGACGCCTGCCCAGTGTCGGAAGGTCAAGGAAGTTGGTGACCTGATGATAGGGGGCGACCGAAGCCCCGGTGAACGGCGGCCGTAACTATAACGGTCCTAAGGTAGCAAAATTCCTTGTCGGGTAAGTACCCGCACGAAAGGTGTAACGTTCTGGGCACTGTCTTGGAGAGAGGCTTGGTAAAATAGACATGTCTGTGAAGATGCGGACTACCTGTACCTGGACAGAAAGACCCTATGAAGCTTTACTCTTCCCTGGGATTGGCTTTTGGCCTTTACTGGGCAGCTTAGGCGGAGGGCGAAGAAGGCCCCCATCCAGGGGGGCCCGAGCCATCAGTGAGATACCACTCTAGAAGAGCTAGAATTCTAACCTTGTGTCAGGACCTACGGGCAAACAGTCTCATGTAGATAGTTTCTATGGGGCGTAGACCTCAAGTAACGAAGGCATGCAAAGGTTTCCTTAGGCCAAACGAAGATTGGCCCTTGAGTGCAAAGGCAGAAGGGAACTTGACTGCAAGACTCACCCAGCAGGGACGAAAGTCAGCCTTAGTGATCCGACGGTGCCGAGTGGAAGGGCCCTCGCTCAACGGATAAAAGTGACTAAGGGGATAACAGACTGATCTTCCCCAAGAGCTTATATGGTAAGGTTTGGCACCTCGATGTCGACTCTTCGCCACCTAGGGCTGGAGTATGTTCCAAGGGTTGGGCTGTTCATTAAAGCGGTACGTGAGCTGAGTTCAAAATGTCGTGAGACAGTTCGGTCCATATCCAGTGTGGGCCTTAAAGCATTGAGAGGACCTTTCCCTAGTACGAGAGGATTATCGTGCCCACGGAAAATGCTAGGTAGCCAAGTGCGGAGCGGATAACTTCTGAAAGCATTTAAGTAGTAAGCCCACCCCAAGATGAGTTCTCTCCTATTCCGACTTCCCTAGAGCCTCTGGTAGCACAACCGAGATAGCGATGGGTTCTCTGTGGGGACGAAGCGACAAAAGTTTTGAGAATGAAAGAGAAGAGAATGAATGAATAAGAAGTGTTTACAGTTAAAGAATAGTGAAAAAAGGAAAAGGTGAAGACATGAGAAAGAAGAAATATGTTCAAGAAGGATTGAATATGCTTGACCGAGTGAAAGAAGAAATAGGAAAAGGAGAGAAGACATAGATAGTGAAACCCCGGTTGGAGAGGTGAAGTAGTGATTGAGTTCAGTCTCTTTCCTTCCAATTGAATTACCTCATAAATGGACCTAAACATAAGGAGAGACATCAAATAAATAAGAAGAAATGGTCCTTACAGTCGAATTCATGTTTCATTTGAGAATCAATAGGTGAAATCAAAGGTTCAGTCAGACGCTTCGCTTAATCTCATTTGACTTTTCTCGACTGTAAAGTCTCATTCATCTTGAGTCTTGACTTACAATGAACTCTCATTCATCTTGAGTTTCGTCTTACAGGTTAGGTAATAAATAGCATTAGGGGGGAAGGAGCTTATCTCTCTTTCTTTCCTTCCTGTTCCGTCTCATTCATCGAAAGTGTTTACAGGAGAATTCTTGTTTCATTTTCTTCTCCATTCATTTATTTTTTCACTGTAAAGTCTCATTAATAAGGTGTTTCGACTTTCCTTTCTTTTTCAGGTTCAGGTTCAGTAGCTCTCGGTTCAGGTTCCTTCTTTCATTCATTTACGACGGTAAAGGATGTGGAAGTGCATTGATGTATGCAGCTGAGGCATTCTAACAGACCAGTAGACTTGAACCTTGATCCTACATGACCCGATCAATTCGATTAGGCACTCGCCATCTATTTTCACTGTTCAACTCTTTGACAAGATGAAACAAAAAAAGTTCTCCCTCTCTATCTATCCAAAGGATGGAAGGGCAGAGGCCTTTGGTGTTCCCTCCAGTCAAGAATTGGGATCTCACAATCACTAGCCAATATGCTTTTCTCTCATGCCTTTCTTCTGGTTTGATATTCTAGTGTCCTAGGCATAGAGGAACCACACCAATCCATCCCAAACTTGGTATTTAAACTCTACTGCGGTGACGATACTGTAGGGGAGGTCCTACAAAGAGCTCGACGCCAGGATGATAAAAAGCTTAACCCCTCCAATTCTTATTACTTTTCAATATTCAACAATATGGAAAACACTAACAATGAAAAGGTCGTCTTATTCAAAACTCCTTCTCTCTCACTTCACACCTTGGAATGCACCGTTCTTATAGAGGCGCTTTCACATCTATCTTCTTAACCTGAAATGGAAAATGGCTGGGGAGAGGAAAGGTTCCTTTTTTTAGGGTACCCCCGGGAACAGATCCAATGGAGCACCCCCGAAAAACATCGAGATGCACGAAGCCGACCTATATCTTGAAAGAAAAATGCAGGAAAAGCAAATGAAAGATGAAAGCCAAAATTCGGGGAGTGTGAGATATGCAGATGTGGAGTACGCAGCCGAACGCAAGGGCTTCCAGCAGTGATAGCTGCCCTCATCAGATGGGTCGCCCAAAACCTGGAGCTAACATTTCAATCGGAAATTCACGTCAGATCGCGGCGAGACGCAAAAGGCAGACTAAAGCTCCGGATCACAAAATGAAAGACAACAAGGGGCAAACCAAGTTCTTGTGCGAAAGAAGAGAAAAATCAAATAGAGACATGGAGAAGAGGTGAAAGAGAGATTTTTGAGCCTGCAAGCTGCAAGCAACAACGGTGGAAAAGTCGTTGCGCGCTAGCTTGTAGTTTAGGAGTCTCGTAGGGGTGCCCTTTTCGAAAACAGATATCCTTTCTAAGGTCAGCTTTTTGGAACCCTAGTTTTGGAGTTTTTCCCAACCTATACCCTTACTAATAAATAAAAAGGAGCTTACCTTTTTCAGCTGCATTGCACTGCCGCATAAACAATGGATCCACTCGCTGGGCTGGATGAGCTACCTTCTATCTATCTGGCCTCTGTACTAACTAGTAGTGGAGTGTCTTGCTACTTTCAATCATCAAAGGAAAATGGAGCAAGGGAGAAAGAAGTTGTCCCCTCTTCTATGGTAACCCACCATCGGTCATCTAGAGTGCTTCGCCCGCCATAGCATATCTAGAAAAAGAGGGAGCGGGGAAGGAAGAACAGCCGTTTGACTTTGGCACATGAGCTTGGGGGTTTGGCTAGGTAACATAATGGAAATGTATCGGACTGCAGATCCTAGAATGACTATTCGACCCCATCCTTGGCATCGGGGAGTAGCGAGCTGCACGGAACGATCATTAATCAAAGGGGGCTTCCCAACAAAGGAAATTAAAAGACAACATTCTGGAACTTCCAAAAACCAAAGAAATGCAAGATACATGAGGAGGAGATTTTTACATAACGCTTCCATAGAATGAATTCGGTAAGGGTAGAATACGCCCCATGGTCGATCGAAGGTCTTGTGCCACTTTCACTCCAATCTATCTTTCTTTGTCTAGCCAGCTCATAACCAAATCTTAGACCAGGCTGACACAAACAACCTTTTTTGTTTTGGTTGAGGAAAAGGAAGAAACCCCAGCGACCAAGCACTTCTGCCCCCAAAAGTGGAGACCGAACAACTGCCAAGTTCTCGAGGACACGTCTGAAGAGGTGGTGGGCGCCCTATCAGTTTACCACCCTACCCACTAATGGACTATGAGGGAGCAGGCAGGCGAACGGGACCTTCCGAGAAATCGAACTGCTTGACTGACTGAAATACTCAATTTCATTAGGGTCGAGGATGGATGAAACCAATCATCATCGCAGAAGCGAAGTCGAGAAATAGACCGCTTCATAATGACTAGGACTTGTGTACGAGGAGTTTTGAGTGTGAGCTACCACTCATGCAGAAAGACCCGCAACTCTCGAATAGGAAGAGGACACCAACCGCCCGAATCACTATAGAAAAACCTCCCTTTACTCAATGGATAGCCCTTATTCAAGAGAAAAAAGAAGAAATGAGGGAGAAACTAGTGATGATTTCCATGAATGCAGCCTTCTAGGACATGTACAATCTGGTCTTTGCTCCTACCAACATGGTGCACCTCCATGTAGAGGGTCACATGGAGACTTTGACCGAATTAATAGGGGGAGAAATTGCTCGACATTTTGATTGAGGAGGAGAATCCAGGATTCACGATTTTTTCTTTCGAAATGTGCTGATGCATACTCCCGTTATCGATGAAAAGGGGAAGTGAATGACAAGACCGGCTTGCTTCGCTTAACCTAACCCTCTCTTGATGGCGAATCTTGATTGACTGACACTAGGAACCGATTCAGAAAAAGAAGAAGCATGGCATGAGGACGAACAAATTGTCGATAGCGAATTACTTGACTTGATAGATGGAGGGAGGGCCCCCTACTCAAGCACGAAATCCATGTTGAGTCAACAATCATCGAGAAGGGCACCACCAAGCGAGATCAAGACCAGCACCTTGCCCTTGGATAGGGTTCCAAACTTTTCTTCTTCAAATATCCAAAAGGGTCAGACTAACAAGCGAGAAATGTCGACTTTGATAAAGAAGGGAAGGGGGGCGCGCTAGCTTACTAATAATAGTGGCCTTTTTCAGCTTGACCAAAATCGATTCCATTATAGAATAGCAAAAGTGCTACTTAGCAGTCAAAACTCGGAGAGAGAGAGGGGACTCTTTCATACCTGCTAACTCCTAGGATGGGAAGTAGGTCCCTTGTTTTTGGCAGGAATAGTTCCAGCCTTTGTTGCCACTCGGTAGAGTGAGTCTACTTAGCGAACTGGCAGGACGATTGATCCATATGAATCTCGAGAGTGGATGGTTGACCGCCGCCCCCTTGTCTTGGAGGCTCTCCGGGCGGGGCTTGCTATCGTAACCCAGTGTATGTGAAAAAGAGTGACTCACCCCTTTCCCTTTTTTGTTCGGTCAGAAGTTGGTCCAAAGAACGAGAGTGGACTTCCTTAAGTCCGTTGTTCCTCAGTAGCTTAGTGGTAGAGCAGGCTGTTAACTGACTGGTTGTGGGTTCAAAATCCTACTTAGGGTGAATTTGGAGTTCTCGTTGCGACCCCTGTCCTTCTCCTGGGATTCTAAACTCTAAGAGTCGTGGGACATCAAAAGTAGAAAAACTGGGTTCCTTCAATTCTTGGGGAGTAGAAAAATCAAAAGTAGAAAAACTGGGTTCGAAATGAATGGGAAGACTGAATTATAAAACTGGGTTCGGAATGAATGGGAAGACTGAATTAGTATGGATCCTTCAATTCTTAGGGAGTAGAAAAATCAAAAGTAGAAAAACTGGGTTCTTTCAATTCTTAGGGAGAAGAAGGATCCACTGGGAATGAATGGGAAGACTGAATTAGTATGACTGCCGCCAAAAGGAATTTGTCTCCACTAGCGTCATTCGAAGAAGGAAAAAACAGGGTGACGATTTAGGTAGTCTCGATAGAAATAGTGCAATGGCTAAAGCTCTGCCAGCTTCTTGTAGGATGGTTTAAATTAGCTTCTAACTAGTGGCAACGAAGTTCTTGGTAATAAGGGGGGAAGAAAGATCTCCACTCATTTCATTCATTCAGTGCCCAGTGCCTGCGGTGAGGCGCGACCCAGAACAAAGAAAGGGGGAAAGCTTGCTTGTTGTAGCCCTCTTTTGGTAGACTA